TCATTATTATGAGAAGAGGGACAAATATTATGACAATAAAAACAATTAAGTGCTAGATAACTGATTGATGACGATTAAAATTGATTGAGTAATTAAATGAGTATACTTGTAAAGAAATTTCATGTATATGTACAATAAATGTCTCTTAGTCTATGTATTCATATTTTTCTCATTTCTTTTCTCTAGGGCTGAGATGGATGTACTAGAGTCTAGCTTAAAGTTTGGGCTGATGCTTGAAGCTTATCTAAGAGGGAGTGTGAATCACATACCAGAACTGAGACAGCAGATGGACGGGATCGGGAAAATGAGAAGCATATCAGAACTGCTTCACTCGAAAGGACTGAAAGACAGGGTGAGGAGGAAATAAGGAAACAAGAACCAAAATAATGATAAACATTAAAATAATATTATATCCTACTGCTACTGTAACTGTTATTGTGATAATAAGAATAATAAGTTCTGTGGTATTTTATGGTGATAAGGTTTATGTTTTAGGATAAGAAGGAAAAGGCTAGGGATACGATGCAGCAAGTGTTGGCACAACAAAGCTACAAACAAGTCCTCAATAACTGTGTATCCACACTGGATCCTAAACTCACCTTAGGAGGATTAAAGTACGTACATGTACATGCATTTACACATATTTACACACAATGTTGCTTTAATATTGTATTAACTACATGTACATACATGTATATACATGTACATGTAGTTGAGAAAAGTGAAAACTACACGTACATTACCAAGAAGAAGCATGTACATGTAGTAGTAGTACTTGTACCTAGAACCATGTCGTACATGTGCCTCAGTGCAATACAGTATAACTGTGTGACATCGTTAGAAATTTACATGTAAATGATATTACTTGTAATGCTATTACTGTTAAATATACATGCATGTACATGTACATGTACATAATATACATGTACTTGTATACGCATTTACATGTATGTATGATATTGTTTGAAATTATATGCACACACTTGCTGGCCTTCATTCTCAGTTTAATACAAGTGCTGGTTGTATTTGTATTTAATGATGTACATGTACATGTATTCTTAATTAGATTAGTGATTTCAAGTGGAAGTGGTCTCCAATAATTAAAAACATGTAATCACATGAAACATTGTAGATTCACTTCAGGGATTATCCACTAAGTGTGATAGGCAAGCTAAACAGCAGCTTCATAGACTGTGGATTTAGACTGTTATGTAACTTCATAGACTGTTATGTCAGTTATGTTTTTTATTACATGTACATGTGCAGTACATTTAAATTTGTAATTATAGAGTACATGTACATACATGTACCTACTGTACATGTATAAATGTTTGAGCTATAATTATAGTGTCAATCAAAGAGTTGTGACTTTATAATTAAATGTCGTACATGTACATGCACATTTATTTATCCTTTATCTGCCATTTTTACAAGATTACATGCATTCATCTACATGTACAATGTGTTTGTGTACATGTACAGATTCTGAACATTCATTCATTAGAATGATGATGTAATTAAACATTAAGCTATTTTTATCTGTAATGGTAAATATTTCGTACATGGCAACCACTTTATAATGCAAGCGTATCAAATTACTCTATTTGGGTACCCTGAGGCTATTGTTGTGACTCTGCTAATTGAGTTACTGTATGGTCACTCGTATACACATGTATTGATTCTTTATTAAATATTCTCATTTTAGGGATCGTGAGTGTCGTTTCTATGACTCCAAGATGAGGCCACTACTCATGGTCTATGAGAATCCAGACCCCTCTGCTTTCCCTGGGGACATCAGAGTCATATTCAAAAATGGAGATGGTAAGGGATTATGTTTTTATTTACATGTACATAATGTACATTGTGCATGTATGGGTACTCCACAGGATTTTGGTATAGCACTCATGTGCTTAATCTGCTTATTTATTCATTAACTGTAGTCTGTACATGTGCATGTACTGTAGTGTGTACCTCATTGTATTGTCAGTGGGTTGCTTTTTTTATTTATAGACCATACGTTGTACATAGACCATACATGTAGTAATAAGTGAATGTACATGTACATCCACAACAAATAAAAATGCTACTGTACATGTAAGTTGCTCAGAAATATGGTTGTGCTTTTGTACAGGGTATTTTTACGATAATTTTTAAGACAGAATTCTCCTTTTTATAATTTTTTCATGATACATGTACATGTACATGTCCTTGAGTTTATTCCAATCACAATTTGATTTATTTAAAAATTTTAAAGTTTGCTCCAAAAATGGGTTAAGGCTCCTGTAGACATGTACATGTACATGGTCTTGAGCCAAGTTTTGCTGAAATTGAAAAGGAGAGGATTCTCCATTTTTCTAATTTTTTCTGATGCATATACACATGTGCATGTACTGTTGTTGCATAGAAAGTTGAAGCTCATTCCAATCAAAATTGGATTTTTAATGGATTTTTAACCTTACTCAAAAATTTGGTTGAAGTCCCTGTACTTGTACTATGGCCCTGCTTTTTCATGGGCTCCTGTTCATAGATGTACATGTATTACGCTATTACATAATACATATACATGTGCCTTTATGTCTGTGAGTCTATATCTTTCTTGTATTTGTTTGTTACATTATTAGATCTTCGTCAAGACATGTTAACGTTACAGATTATTGGTATAATGGACAACATATGGCAACAAGAGGGAGTTGATCTCAGGTACATACAAACCTCACTACCTTATAAGTGGTTTTTTGAGGGAATTTTATTTTATGAATTATTATATTTTATGAATACTGCTAAATTTCCAATTTGCAGCTTTTAATTTTACAAACTCTGCCACATGCCTATTAAATTGATTTTGTGGATTTTATTTTTGTGGATCAGGAAAGAATCTACGAAATTTTCAAAAATGGTACCCCTCGAAAAAACCACTTATACAATACATGTACATGTACATTGTACATGTACCTCTTCTCTCCCTTCCTCTCTCTCTCTGTCTCTCTTCCATTATCACTTCTTTTCTTGTCACCTTTCTCCCTTTGATGACTGGTAGTTTTAGGCAGTAATGACATTTGGTGTCAATTGTTGACATTTTCATGTGCATGTACATGTACATGTCTTTCAACTTTTCATTCCCATTGGAACACATCATCACATCATTATTATTAGAAATTTAGTGTACGTACAGTCACTACAGTGTAGTTCAGTAATGAGATCACTTTGTCTCTTTTCCTTTAGTAATGTAATTTAGTGTCAGTTGTTGACATGCGATATCCTCGACTTTTCCTTGTAAACACACACTATTCTCTACTAATAATAGTTCAGTGTACATGTACATACATGTACATGTACATGTCTACAGTGTACATGTACATGTAGTTAGTTCATCCATGTAGTCATTCTGTTCCTTTACCACAGTGTCATTCAACTTTGTTTATTTCTTGTGTGTGAGTATTGAAAACTTATAGAGACACACACATGAACTCATACATGTACATGTACTGCAATTACTTTCAATTGATAATCAGATTTGAATTATGAAGTCCTCCACATTCTCCACTCTGAATATGGAATTGTTTGTCATTGTTATTTTATTGGGTCTCTGTCTTTGGTGCATTATTATGACCATCAGCCTTTCTATGTTTGTCTCTATGGTTTTGCTCACGACTATCTTCCCTTTCCTTTCTCCCCCTCCCTTTCTCTTCTTCCTCCCTCATTCTTGCCCTCTCTCTCCTTCTCCCTTCTCTCTCTCCCTTGCTCTCTCTCTCTCTCTCTCTCTCTCTCTCTCTCTCTCTCTCTCTCTCTCTCTCTCTCTCTTTTATCCCCCTCCCTTCTCTCTCCCTTTCTCTCCACTCATTCCTTAATTATTCCTTACATACATGTACATTGTACATTATAATAGGTTATTACCTTATGGTTGTATATCAACTGGGGCACGTGTTGGTTTCATACAGTGTGTCACACAGGCTGAGACTATTGCTAATATACAGAAGATGCTCAAATCAACAAGGAGCATGTTAACACTCTGGGACAGCACCTTATTGCACCAGTGGCTGAAGGATAAGAGCCCAACTGAGCAACAGTATGTCTCTATTCTATTCTATTCTTTTATTCCTCTATCACTTTTTTTAATATTTCTCTCTCTCTCTTCCTTTATCCCTGTAACCTTTATTTAATAGTCTAAAGACAGCAGCTGAAGCTTTCTGTGTATCCTGTGCTGGTTATTGTGTGGCTACATACGTATTGGGTATTGGTGACAGACACTCTGACAATATAATGATCAAGGAGAGCGGGCAACTCTTCCATGTTGACTTTGGACACTTTTTAGGAAACTTTAAGGTAATGATGTTTACATGTACTGTGTGTATTACATGTATGTGTGTATGTTTGTACATGTACATGTACAAACATACATTTACATTGTACCAAGAGTACATAATCTACAGAGAGTGTCTAACCATACTATAATAGCTGAAACATCACCGCGTAGCCTTTTCTTGTGCATCTTTGGGCATTCCCGCATACTGGGTGTGGCTGAGTAGGAAAAAATGGCTGCCAAGTTTGCTCAACCTCAACAAGGTTTACTGGCTGTTTTGGTGCCTCTGCTATAGCAGTACTGCATATCAGACTTCAGCAGCATTATAAAGTGTACTAGTATGATGTCTAAAGCTTCTTCAAGTTTTTTTTCTCCACTGTTTTTTATGTTAACTTCTACACGTGTTTTTAGTAAGTACACCCACGCTTCTGGTCTCACGTGACTTAGTTCTACGCGGTCATGTTTCAGCTACTATAGTGCGGTTAGACACTCTCTGTAAATTATGTACTCTTGATTGTACATATACATATACATGTACATGTATTTGCATAATGTGCATATGGGTGATGGAAAGTAATTTATATCTTTATCGTACAGATACAATTATTATAACACATGCTAATGAATACTAGAAATTGTTATTTATGATTTTATTATGACTTGGACTGGCCTAATCTTATCAAAGTCACTTGGAAAATTATTATTAGCTAAAACATAATTAACACATTCACCTGTAAATGTTAGCGTTGTACATGTACATGTAATGATCTCTGATTATATGAAACCTCATGATTCAGTGCAATTATCACTCCTACATGTGTATACATGTACATGTACATGCAATTACTGTATGTACATGTACATATACAAGGTTCTGCAGCTAGGAAAAAATTAGAGGTGGTTGGAGACTAATATTGTTCCTTTTAAATTTATGTACACCATACTAGTAGACTACAATATCATGCTTTATGTATGGTTATTAGTATTAATTGGCTGGTTGGTCTAAGTGATGAACTGGTTGGTTCATTTGTTGAGGTGGTTGTCCCGACCACCCCTGACCACCATAGGCAGAACTACATGTATGTGTATATGTACATGTACATGCTGTTTGTACAGTACATGTACATGTATGTACATGTACATTACTTATGTGCGTTAAATTTAAGGTATGTGTCCTACTTCATGTTTTTCTCGAGTGTTTCCTTTTTATGTTGTATCGTGTGCCAGTTTAGGGAGTCAGTCTTCCTCAGTTTTGATTGTAAAATTTCTCTTTTGATTTTGTTTCTAATAATTGTAACAAACCTTGTTCTCTGTACACGTAAACATTTATGTTTATGTCTCTTGTTTCCTCTACCTCTCTCTCATGTCTTTCCCACTCTTTCACTCTCTCCTAATCATTCTCTTTGTTCTGTTCTTTTGTCCTTGTACTTGTTTCCTTATGCCTAAGTGTACTATTTCTAGATAGTGAATTTAGAAAGGGATCTTCAAAACCCTAAATTAAAAGTGATGTAGCATACAGTTGGAAGTATTAGTTGGTAGATTTTCCCTGACTTTCCCACAAAGCATGCTAAGTGAGCTAAACAGCATGAGCTTCATGAGCTGACAAGCACTACAATACAGTACATGTACATGGCATTTGGAGCAACTTTTAAAAAATCATTAAAAAATTCAAATTTGATCGAAATCAGCTCAAAGTTGATACAAGACATGAGAACATGTATATGTATCAGAAAAAAATATTAAAGTGGAAAATTCTCTCCTAGCCATTTTTGACAAAATTTGGCCAAAACCAAAGGCTATAGCCTTGGGTCATTGGTCAGATTTTTGAGCAACTTTTAAAAATTCATAAAAAATCTAAATTTGGTCGGAATCAGCTCAAAGTTGATACACAACATAAGGACATGTATATGTATCAGAAAAAATTATAAAAATGGAGAATTTTCACCTAGCCATTTTTGACGTAATACATCTACAATGTACTATAAAGGTCTTTGGCCCAATTTTTGAGCAACTTGACAATCCACTGAGCACTATGCCAAAATCCTGTGGGAAACCCTGCTTGTGTTGTGAGAAATTAATATTTGGGAGGCAACAGCCATCATAAAGTCCACTGAATAAAAAAATACATGTACATTTGTAAAGTCACTGTACCTCGTCCTACATGTAACTGTCATATCAGTATAATGTACATGTATATCATGTAAACTACTGTATAATTAAATAAGGACTAATCCTTCAAGCTAACGCCCCAATACATCAAAAGCACTTAAATTAGTGTACAATTACATGTACATTCATTTACAAGTACTCTTATCCTCTTCCTTCCTATGTACATATAATTACTATACACTTAATGCTCCCACTCTGTCTTCCTCATTACTCCTCATTAGGTTAAGTTTGGAATGAGACGAGAGCGTGTCCCGTTTGTCCTCGCCAGTGACTTTGAGCACATCATTGACAAATACTTTGGATTCAACCAGTAAGGAAAGAATAGTATTAAAACTACAACGTCATGTTACAACAATTTACAAAGCATTAAATCATTAATTAGAACTACATGTACATGTATATTATGTACATTATACATGCACATGTGTGTGTGAAATTGTGAATAAATAAATAAACTGATAATGAGATTGCTTGAGTTATTAATACAAGCCTTGTTGTTATTCCTTCTTCTATTTTATATTACTAGTTTTGCTAATCTCTGTGAAGAAGCCTATCTCATATTAAGAAGACGGGCCCCATTACTCATCAACCTGATGGCCATGATGATCCAGACTGGTATACCCGAGCTACGCTCCATGAATGACCTCAACTACGTGAGGTAAATGTAATTTAAAGTGCAATACAGGTATTAGGAAGCTAGCGTCAATATGGCCTTGGATGGCTTTTAAGTTTAAGTTTACTTCCTGTGTCAATGATGATCTATTGTGTTTGTATTGTTCAAAGATCATTTCCTTAAGTTCACACTTGACATTACATCAGGAATTAAGAATAATAATAAAATGATATTTCTTTGAAAATAAGCTCAGTTTATGTACATGACCATGTAAGCATGTACATGTATCATACTTGTACTATCAGTGTAAATGTGGTACAATTCCATTAAGTATGTGTACAGTTGTTGTTTCTTCGTTATTTATATATTCCCACTTGTACCGGTACATGTCTTTTTGTCAGTCCTTTATTTCTTAAAGCTAATGGTTGTAATTTTTAAGTTTTGACTATGAATCCACTTTCTGATTCAGTTAGTCCCTTTTCCTCCTGTGCCCACGCACTGTAGTAAGTCCCTTGAACCCTTGGGGTATTGTTTACTCTGGCTAAAACCAGTAGAGTTATTTTAGATTAGCAAGTCTCTCTCCCCTTCTCTTTCCTCTTCTCATTTTCACATTATTTCTGTTCTCTTGATACCACTCTTTATTCTCTCTGGTTCTCTCTCTCTCTCTCTCTCTCTCTCTCTCTCTCTCTCTCTCTCTCTCTCTCTCTCTCTCTCTCTCTCTCTCTCTCTCTCTCTCTCTCTCTCTCTCTCTCTCTCTCTCTCTCTCTCTCTCTCTCTCTCTCTCTCTTTCTCTCTCTCTCTTTCTCTCTTATAGAGAGGCTTTAGTTCTCGGTGAGAGTGAAGCTGTTGCTAAAGAACATTTCCGTGGGAAGTTACAAGAAGCAAGACGAAATGCCTGGTCAACCAGTTTGAACTGGTATGTACACGGACTTTCGAAAGACAACAGGCAATAGAAGAGTCCTACCATGTGGTGCACTCTTAGGTTGGGAATAAATAACTCGATTATAATTTCTGCATTATCATGTTTTAAAACTGTAATAATAATTATTACTATTAAATGAATGATCATACATATTATTAAAATATTTTGTTTGTTTTGTGTACATTAAGTTTATATAAATCTGAAGCAATTAAGTGTGAACCTGATTGTGACAGCGGTGCGTCATTGACGGATATTATTACACCACATCCTGCCAGGGACCTCACCCATTGTGTAAACTTCACACACTCTAGAGCAGAGAAGCGCGACAGCAGAGGAGAGAGAGGAGGAACGGCACTTGACAGAAAGAGGCTAGCTTTGTAGAATCACTAATGCTCTTCTTGGCTTCTGCTTTGTTGCAATTATGATGCGAGGAGCTGCTCCTAGGTCTTTCCCCGGAGCGTTAAAACGATGGAGGTTGCCTCCAGCATTCTTGTTATTTTACTACAGTTTATTATTCTCAGCTGGTTAGTGTTTATGCACACACATACAACTATAATAAAATAATGTCAGTTTTCACCATTTTCACCATAATAATTGTAAAGTACCTTATACATAAAAATCTTGCAAGAATTTTGTATTTTATCAAATAATAATTATTATTACAACTTATTTTAGACAATATAAGATTATTTTTCTTCCATCCCTGCACATTGCTTATTTCTGTGCCTTAGTGCTAATATTTGGGCCATTACCTCAGTCTTATTTGTATAAGCTGGAAAATCAACCCTGCCCTTTAGTCAATCCTCTACTTATCACTATAATGTGGGTATCCACCTGATGTTGATAGTGTGTGAAATGCATTGCATTCCAACTGACCAAATTTGATTTCTCATTAAGAACCCAGAAAAGTTCCTTATCCTGTTACTCCTCTAATAGCTGTAACACAAGAACATTGCAGTGTTGCCGCATACTATTCCATGAATAAGTACAAGTTGAGCAAAATATTAAATTGCACCAGCAGCAGCAATTCTGGACTTGAGTTCAATTTTTTACTAATAATTTTTTTTTCAGTTTTTGTGCTAATCGTTATAGATGTTTGAGCCTTATAGCTGTCTTAAGAGCCAAAGTTGTATGAGTCATTCACAAAGTTTTAACAATGCATAATGTTTTGACGTTAAGACTTAAAATTTATGTTAAGTCTAAATTGTGTTTTACATAAAAGTTTTATTACAAAGACAATTATTTAAAAAGCATTGATAAAAGGGATTTTATTGTGGCAATGTATGTATCTAAATATGTAGCAGACAATGTTTTGTCTGTTACTCTTAATTTAATTATGCTTCCTTATGTAGTTATTGCAGTAACAGATTCATCATCAGACTATAATTACGCAGTTCAGATTAATCCAGTCATATTCCTCACTCATCCACTATCAGATGTACAATACGAAACCCAAGCACTATCACTTAGCTGTCAAGCCAACATTTCACAAGTCGTTAATAAGGATGTAGCCCTCCCTAGTGTACACTGGCGAATCAATGGCTCTATCATTAGAAGCAACGATAGACTCAGAATTAACACTAACACGACAAGTGGATTCAGTCATTTATACTTTCCTTCATTGAGTATCAGTGATGCTGGTTTGTATGAGTGTGTAGCTGATGATTCCGATGGTCGCTACATTACTCTCAGTGATCCTGCTATTGTTACTGTCATCCCACTCAATGGTAAAATAATTCATTGCTTAATTGGTACTATTATCAGTCTCTTAATTATATTAGTTCCAGTTC